TTGTGATGTGAGGTTGAATTTTCCTTCTTTGGTATAGCCTACAGTTTCCAGCCTTATGTCTACAATCTTTGTTTACATTTGGCCAAATGAATCTGTTTGTACGCATAAGTATCGTACTTTAAACTTGTAGTTCAATACTTTGTAAAGTTATTACGTTGGCAACACAAAGACGTCAGAACATAAAAAGTCGTTAACAAGCGTTTATTTTAAAGTTATTTTCCTTTCAGTTTGATTCAGTATTTTATAACAATAAAATTTGTTTAACTAAATTATATTGTTATTGGTAGGTAGGTATTTTATTTACTGCTCACTAGAATTGCACAATGGGCTATTGGCGACGGTCTGGGAAACATCCCCGAGGATGCTCCGAAGACATGCCATGACAATTTTGATTCTCTGCAGAGGGGATGGCTTCTCCGCTTTGTTACCCCGACGACCTACGACCGAAAACGAGCACTTTACAGTAGACCAGTTTAACGATTGCCAATACCGCAAGTGGTCAAAGTGGCCACCCACCCCCTAAACTGACCGCAACCAGTGATGCTTGGCTTCGGTGTTCTACTGGAAACCGTGTCTTTACGATCAGTCCACTGCTGGGCTGTTTTGTTATTGAAATACATATTTATCGCTGACCTATAAATCTATCTTTGATTAATTTTATAGTAGTTTTGATACTTGGATGTGATAATTGATGAATCAAATTTCTCTCCTAAATTTTCAATGCAATGTAAGGTTGCATTAATAAATAAGGGAAGGTATTTAATCTTCCTACAGTATGCGATTTGGGATGAATTTGACAACAAAGACAAGTTGACAACATTTACAGCTATCTACAACTTAATATACAGTTAAAGCGTAATTTTTTTCTGTTATAAAATACGTCATTAACGAGCAAAAATATATACAGACCCGGGCCAAATTATTAGACGCACTGTAAGATTCTATGTGCAATCTTAATTATCAGACGATACTTTACAGCTTTATTGTTTTTACGCGACTGAAACCGGTTTGCACTAGTTTACGTTCGTGTATCAATTGGTGAAATTAGACGTTATATAATATAAATTTGACGATTGGATAAGTTAGACGATATATAATATAAATATAGAATATTTATAATATCAGGTATTGTATTAATACACCGAAGATATCAGGTATTGTATTAATACACCGATGACCACCCTCCATCTAACAATGGGCTCGCCCAGGTTTTCATGGTTTCTCTCCCAGGAACAATGTTTTCATGGGGCACATTAGGACCCATAATCCTCATAGAACAAACCCTGACGTCTGTAAGCTACTTGAACATAGTTCACCCATTCATGGCAACAGTTTTTCCTGCGGGGGATGGTGTTTAAAAACAGGATAATGCACCATGTCATAAGGGTCGAATCGTCATGGATTGGTTCGAGGAACATTCCAGTAACTCTCAAGTCATGTCTTGGCCCCCAAATTCACCTGATCTTAATCCAAAAGAGCATTTGCGTTCCTACTTGGAAAACCAAATTCGATACCTCAGACTACCTATCAGCACCTTGTGGAATCAATACCACGGCGGGTGCTAGCAGTTTTGAGGGCTAAAGGTGGTCCTACATGTTATTAGCAGGGTGGTCATTATGTAATGGTTCTTCGGTGTATATTATAATAATTAGATCAAATTACTAGACGAACTGTAGTTTTTTAATAATTACATGTTTTGCACGAGTTTTTATGCAATACTTTTATATTTAAACATACGTGCAATGGGTTTTTATCCAGGAGATTTTTTATATACTTCCTATTTGTATTTATTTTTAACGTATTGCATTACAATGCTAACCAATTGATACACGGACGTAAACAAATGCAAACCGGTTTCAGACCCGTAAAAACAATAAAGCTGTAGTATAATATCTCCTGATAATTAAGATTTTACATAGAATCTTATAATGCGTCTAATAATTTGACCTGCCTGTACATTCATTATATCTTCAATATCAAAATACATCGAACATCAGAATTTTAAATAAAGTTACATTTTCCTAACAACGCGTTGTTTACATTCATAAAATATTGATGCGTGTGATTTTATTGACCTTGCGCACCACAAATATTGTGTTCAGAATCAGGAATTTTAAGTTTTGTTGAAAATTAATGAAGCAGGAGTTTCTAAAAAATCTTTTTAATTCGTCTATTTCCTGTTCTTTGGCAAAATCTCCATAATTGATCGCATCAGGAAAATGGTGCGAAAATAAAAATAAAAATGAGCTATTAGAGCAGCATCAACTAGTTGCTGTTTACTTAATTCGGAGGCTTTTGTTATCTAATCATTCAATTCTATTTTTCGCTTATCATTCTTTGTGACTATTCTTTTAAATATTAACGAGATAGATTCCACTTGAGCAGAAGAAATCGTCGATAATAATTTATAGCATTCCTAAAAACCTTCGTAATGGGTTGACAATGGCAGGTTTGGGAATTATTTGTATAATTTCTACTCGATCTTATTCCTTTCTACTCGGTTTTATTCCTTCTTCTTTTACCAAATAACCCTAGAAAGAAATTATGGTGTGGAAGGAACAATTTGTAGAACTTTTAGGAGGTATTATTCCACTGGTAGGAGGAAATATATCACCCATCAATTATGTCAGAGCTTGTATGGAATGTATGCGAGACGAACGCTCTAACCTTCAAGCCTGCTGATCAATTCCAGTTCCTTCATAAATATTCGAAACAATATAAATTTACTTATTTGGCCCTTTTCCATCTAGTCATGGCATTAAATGGATTTACATTGTTGAAGATGTTGAACTGTTGATGCAAACAATTCAACCAAACTGTTGAATACAAACAGTTCAACCAAACTGTTGAATGCAAATAGTTCAACAGAAGGGGCTTGATTCTAACTCCTATTTAATTAATTGAAACACATAAAATACAGCACATATAGTAGTCGTAAAAAATACATGTATAAAACTCCACAGTTCAGCGACTGAAGATGGACTAATTATATTGTAGCTAGATGGCGTTCAGCATATAGTTTGGCTTAGGAGGGGTTGCTGTGGCAATCTGAACTGTAATTAGATCTTTTGCAGAAGTAATTTTACTCGTTGAACAAGATATTTATAACAATTCAAATAGGGAACGGTTTTTATTGCTATTTAATAAGATTTTTTTTTCTTTTTAAAGATTTCAATATGAATGTTAAAATTTATAAATGGCAACATGTAAAAAATCTCTCTCTCTTTTTTTTTTGTTTTTTTTTTTTAATTGACATCTATTTTAGCACGAGTTTATAAAATAAAATAAATATTGATTTCGTGAGGGGAGAGTCAGCCCTTTTTCAAATAGTAATAAAAAGTAAAAAGGAACCCTTTTACAAAAAGTAATATCTAATATTCAAGCTTTTTTTTAACCAATTTATAATTGGAATCTTTTTTAAATAATAGTACTAATTAAGAATATATTTAAAGTATTCTTTTGAGAAAGGGGAAATTAAAAAACCAACCGTTAAAATTAAACTGAATTTCTGAAGTAATCAATATTTTACGTAAACGAGAATTGTAAATAAAATGTAATTTTATAATTATATAAAGAATTGTTATAATATACCAATCGAATTTTAATAAATAATAAAATTAAATTAATTAACTAATTACGTGCTAAAGATTACGCTACTACGAATCGCTTTTTGAATTCCCGACAAATATTATACTAATTTCTATAATCAAATACTGTTAATTATGAATACTCAAATGAACTCTTTAATAATATGATAAATAGATTTTAATATCCTGTCTGAAACTAATAAACAATATGAAAATAATTATTTTTTAAAAGTAGGCGTTTAAAATTTACAATTTAGTACTATGTTAAATTTAGCTTGATTTAATTTATGTCGTTCTTATAATACCTATTTCGAGGCATTTGTCATGGTTATTTTCAGCTTTTTTTCCATTTCCTACATTTTTTTATGTTTTTTTTTTCTAATTTCTTCCTGTTAGAAATAGATTTCTTTACCCGAAAAAACGTCAACAAAGAGAAAAGAAAGGGAAAGGTGTTATACTTTCCAAAAATACTGAAACATCGTTGCCATCGCTAAATATAAAATTATATTTTGAATTTGAATCATAAAACAAGTTTATGAAGCCCTTCTTTTCCCTCTTGTGATATGATATTAAATAGTTATGTTCACTTTATATTATATTATTATTTTTTATGGACGTCAGTCATTATTTTTTTTGAACACTGCCTATCAGCGCATATGTATAAACTAAACTATTGCAATTATTTGCTAAATAAAATATCATTATTGGCTATAATATCATTATATTATTAAAAAAAAATTTAAAATAATTATCGTTATCAACAAACAATAATAATATTATGATTATTTGTTTTATAAACTAATATATTTTTTATTATTGCTACTAAATATTATATCGTATAAGCATATATTTGGGAACAAGTAATATTTTAACATATAATGTAATTTAATATGAGTATTTATGCGTTTCGTGAAAAAAATGAACAGCAAAAATACTTTTTAAAGCATAATCTTCAAAAAATATATTTTATTTCTTTTAACCATTAAAGTCTTTATCTTTATTTTTCTTCGTTTCTTTTCTTTTCCTTATAAACTAGCCACAACCTACAAATAATGTTAATATTTTTAAAAAAATTAAATTTATGAAAAAATGTTTTCTCAAAATGAACATTGCTGTAGCCAAAACAGTTTTTCAGAGAAAAAAAATGGAATTTTACGAGTAAAGTTAAACAAAATCATAACCGAAAACTAGTTTTTAGAAATTTTATATTCACTGTTTAGTCTTACGAGTAATAATTTGCATTATTTTAGGAGACTTTAAATCCTCGAAATCAATTTTTTTATTTACTCTTTATTTATTTTTTAAGTGTAGGAGGAAATCACACAAAGTTGCTATTATTTTTCTTTTTCTACAAATGGCGTGATTTGGCGGCTCTGAGCTCTAATTTTGGCATCCTCTCCCTGCCAGCAAAAATGACAGCTCTCTTTGCTTGTCATTAAGCGTTACTTGAAGATCTCAATCAGATATCTTCCACTTCTTTGCACTTGCTCTTTAGATAGCTAATGTAAAGCAAGGAGTTTGTTTCTGTTCGTATTATATTTAGTTCCGTTTTGTTTATTTAGAGCATAGAAGCTACAGCATTAAAAGCAAACGATTTGTTTTTCGATAAAAACGCTATGTTTTCCCTCCGTTCTTAATTTCATTCCACGATTTTAGTTAAGCAGACAGATTTTTCTTTTTATCTGAGACTAATAAAGCTCAGTCTTAATCAATTTCCCTTTGAGAGCTTTTTAACATTTTATATTTGTTCCATAACAAAGAGAAATGACAAAGAAAACTCGTCTGCAAAAATAAATAACGCTGATTTCAACATCTGGCAACTTGCATTTTACAAGTGGAATGATGCATAAGAAAAAAATGGTTCCTAATAATAAAAGCGTCATTGTTTTCGAATAACAAGAACTTCTGTGTAGTGGCTTTTATTGGAGGGATATTTCTAAGAGTGTACACTTAAGGAAGAAAGAAAATGGCCGATAACTTATTGGAGATCGTTTTACAGCAAAGAACAGATGAAATTCGTCAACGCGACACTCTAATTGAAGGGCTTAGAATGGAACTAGAATTGAAAAATAAACTTATTGTTAAACTTCGAACAGATTTAGAGAAGTTTCGCTCGGCTATGAAGCCGATAGTTGCACAAATGTCTCGTCAGATGTACCTTTGGAGCTCTGGAGAAGAAGATGATAGTTCTTCGTTTGAATCCAGCAGTAGCAGTGAAGCTGAGGTGCTTAATTATGGAGATAAAAGGTCAAATTCTGCTGACCACTCTAGAACCAAACGATTGGCTATTTCCGCTGAACCTGCGTGCGTTGAGCGCATGCGTAACTTGAGTCTTATTAGGATTCCTAAAACAAAAGAGTGAGTTTTTCATTTTTTTTTTATCTCATTAGTTTAGAAATGACGAAAATGTCACGAAATTTTTTTTTTAAAGTCTTTGTGACGTGATTAATTTTGATTTGCATTTTCTAAATTCCAAATGGAAAATAATTGCACTAAATATGTGAGTAAATAAAAATGTAATTAAAAAAAATATTATCAGATAGTGAGTTGATGAGTTTGAATTAAAAATATATTTTCCCTATGTAAGAAGCACAAGTAATATGAAAAGACTAAAACATGTAATAATATCATACAATCAATATATAAAAGCAATATGAAACGTGATATACACATATACATACGTATATACGTGAATATATATATATATATAAATAAATGATGAAATT